CTGAACTTACTTGTCCTTTAGTCTGATACAGCTTGGTGGTTCTTGAAGCAAGCCAGGAATTTTCATTCACGTCTGTGCTTCTAGTTGATGCCACTCTGTCTGCATAGGGTGCTGCCTGGTTTAATGGGAAAACTAGACTGAAAGGAATGCTTGAATATTCCTCTTACAAGTAAGTGTTAATGTAATCTTTCATGCACATGATCTGAATTTATAATTTGACTGTCTTCTTGTATAATAAAAATTTAAAAGCATTACAAAGTTGCTAATGTTGGTAGACCATAGCAAGAGATGTGCAGGATTTTATCCTGAACTTGGAAACAACCATCCTTGTTACTAGGACCTTCAACACACTCAGAGACATGACAGTGTGTAGTACCTGTACTTTTTATCTTCACTAGCTAGGATAATGAGGCTGAATTTATTCTTCCATTGAGGGAGAGAGCAATCTCTTCGGCTGGAATAAAAAACCTGACTTATTTAATTTCCTTTTAGCAGGTATTGTGCTAGCACAGGAAATATTCCAGAGAGATTAAGAAAAAGTAGTGATGAGTGCTTTAGAAGCCTGAGCAGTAAGGGGAGGTACCATAAATCGAGTGAGTCGCTTTACTACAAACCCAGACAGCAACTGAAATAATTTCTTCTGTGTTTTCAGTGATAGCTAAGATAGGGAAATGTTGTAAGAACTGTTGGTTATGTACCTGTGGTAAAGCAAAGCCTATTTAGTGTTAGCCGTTAGAATTATTAATTTCTTGTTTCCTGTGTGATGGTTTGTTTTTTTTTTCATTTAATCTGCCGCATTGTTCTATATTTAGAACAATTATATCTTTATATAATTTCTTTTTTGCATATTCAGAGGAAAACGAAAACATGGAACCTCACATCAGTCTTATCAGTTTCTGATGTACGTACTGCATACATATTGCTAAGTAGAGAAAGAGCTAATTTAATTTCATACAGAAAATTGGGAGTAGTTTATTACAGCTAGGGGCTGTTTATCTGTTTTGTTCTAAAGGCAGACAGGAAGCTGTGAATAAGCTGAAAGACACATGGAGCAGGGGCCCTTGTGTCGTACACTACCCGCAGGGTGCGTGTGTACTGGAGCCTGGGTGTTTGTGTGATGTGAGTAGCCAGAAGAAAACGGCAGTGTGAAGAGGTCTTGAAGTGATGCTACTTAGTATGTCAGATTTCTTCTCCTGATGAAATTGTATGTTCTTTGGAGAGAAGAGTATTTTTGCCTACGAATCCCAGAGTAAATGCCACTTGTCTTGAAAACGTTCAGTAGCCTTTCAGTATGGCAGATAGTCTGTCCATAAATCAGTCTTTCTGCGGATGTATATTTTCCAAATCCTGCTGTGGGATCTTTGAAAGTTCTTTCTGGTCTATAAAAGCAGATTCCTCTTGTTTTCTGTACATTCTTTCAAGGAGTGTTAAGAGTTTGAAAACTGACTGTTCACTGTAAGTTAAACTTTTATTATGCTAAAGTTAAAAGAAAGTGACAAATTAAGACATCTACAGTGTGTAAGACTTTATTTAATCTTTCCTGTGATTGTTTGTGCCATTAGCATGGAGATACAGCGTTTAGCATGAGTACCACCTGGTTTTAACTGAAGTAACTGTGTATAGCTAGAAGTAATCCTTTGATCACAGTCCTTCATAACCCTTTTTCTTTCTCTGCATAGCCCCTAACTGCAGAGAGGCGAGCAGAAAGATAATTAATTGCACTCTTTGAGACTGTTTCCCATGCAGCTGAAAGAAGTGTGATTGATCTGCAACCTCTTAATCTGAATAAATTCCCTGTCTGATTATATTAGATCGCAAGTCAGTGATTTTAACAGCATGAGAGTCCTTCACTCCTTGTCCACTCATACTGAATGTGTGTCTACCTTATTACCTGGCAATATAAATTAGATACGGATTAGCTGTGAGCACGTAAATAATATTTCTATCAAGTCACCTGGGGCACATGTCATAGCATTTATCTTGGCTTTAGAAAGAAAATTATATCTGGTCTGGCATGAATAGAAAACTACCACTTTGAAAAGCATGGAAAAAAATATATATAAGTAGATTGTAGCAATTATTGGCTTTCTGTTGTGCATTGTGGCATTTGTGACCCAGTGTTAGGACTTCAGGGAAAGCTGGACTGTCATTTAGTTTGGCTGAGCAGTTGGAGGATATCTGGATATTCTAGCCATTCCTAGTACTTGATGAAGTGCTTTGAAACTAAAGGAAAGTGCTAAGCACCAGTACCAAGGTGTTTTCTGTTTGTTTGTTGTTTTTTTTTTTAAGAAAAGGTAAATACAAGGTTAATGTTAAATTCATTTGAGCTTTAGGAAGTTGACAGGTTGCTGTTTGTCAGCAAGTTCCTGCAAGAGGCCCTTTGCCTTCTCAGCTGTGCAGTGAAACTTGGCTTAGTTTTATTCTATGCAAGGCAAAAATGAGACTACAGAGTGCCTCTGTGCTTCTTGAAACGGAAAATGCCACAGGCGCTTAATACATTTCTCACTGGCTGCCCTTTGTTCCAGCCGTGCTCCCCCCAGCCTGTCGTGCTCCTGCACACTGGAAAAACAAGAGAAGCTGAAAAGTCCTTGATGTCTCAGCAGCAGCTATAAACATCAGTGTGCTATCAACGTTCTTCTCATAATAAATCCCATACTAAATCCAAAACACAGAGCTCTTCTAGCTGCTAAAAAGAAAACTAACTCTGTCCCAGTCAAAACCAGGACAGTCTCGCACCATTTTTGTACGTGGCCGCAGATGTTTTCAGTAGCTGTGGATTGTGTGAGCTAGAATAAATTTTACTGTACCAGTAAAGAACATTGCTGCAAAATTAAAGAATGAAGATTTGTCCTGATGTGTCATGAGCATATGAAGAGAAAAAGATATAAAATTCCTATATCAGAATACTTTAGTACGTGACACTGGAACAGTAGATGATTTTTCCTTTAACAAACCACTGTTTTGCTAGACACTGAGTCTGTAAGTCTTTAAGATGATGTTCTCCCCGCGACTGCTGCATCCTTATTAGGAAGAAAGCGATTTATAGGAAGTAGTAGCTTCTATTAGACTGCTTTCAGCTCTTTCCTTTTGAAAAAAAATTGATAATTTTCATGTCACTTGAGCATCTCATGGTTAAATAGTTGGATGTGAGATTGTCCTTATTGCCTTGGGTCGGTATTCCATCTCTTGATGTGCCACAGTACTTCTACTTCTCGTGTGTAGGGGGGAAATTGCTCCAGTTTCACATTTGTTGTATTAATGTGTCATGTTGAGTCTGTATAAAAAGCCATCACAGAAAAGACAGTCGTGATTGCTGAATGGTGGGGGGAAAAAACCCCTGTGATCTGCAAAACATTGCACTCTGCGCTTCTAACCGATTGAGTTGGCTTCTTGCAAGAAAAGGTAGATATGTCTGGAACAGATGCCACGTGGTGGGGCAGAGAAAGTAGAGAAGTTTTTTATTCCTCTGGGGCTAAACTGAGAAGCTCAAAGTACCTCACTGGGGCTGAATGGACGGGCTGGGCTGGGAGCCTCTGAGGCAGGGCAGTGGCAGCCACCAGTGTTGTCCACCTTTTGAAGTCCTGGGAAACTGTGCCCTCATACGAGTGCTCAGATGTATAGGTGTTCATCGGCAATAGCACTATATATCGAGATAAACACTTAACCTGTTGATTCTGCAGAATAAATGTTGTTTGTTGTCTTTAAGCTTGCTTTGTGTTTAGGGAGAACTGAGCTAACTCTGCTGAGAACTGGACACCTTCTCCTGGCATTACTCTCTCCAGAAAATGAAGTGCTGTTGCTGCTGCACACAAGCGTGCGTGCATCGTCACATCTGGGACACGTTCTGGGAGCCTGAAGAGCGTGGGTGTGCAGCACAGCACCAGCAGTGAGGTGTTGAGACTGGCCATGGAAGTGCCAGCTGTTGGGGTCTAGTTTACCTGGCAGTAGTTAGCTCGTACTTCTTTGGCCAGAGAGTGGAGAGGCAGGCTGTGATTTCAGCTACATCTGTGGGAAAAGAGGAAAAATGGGTCTACTTGGAAAGCCATCTTCAGCTTGTTGGTCAGTACGTAGGTACCTTTACTGTCCATTGTAAGCCCAGGCCACCTGAGTTTGCAGATACTAAAACCTTTGTAAGTGAAGGAATGGTGCATAGGTGAGTCAGCATCACTGAAGCAGCTTTTATTCCTTGGATGTATCAGGTTGAGCACGGCTGCATGTTCCTATCCCTGCACTGGCCTTTGCTTTGTGCAGTTGTTCGGGAAGCTGGCTTGGGAACCCGGTTTGGTTGTTGCGTGTGTCAAATATAAAATCAGCACAGCTAAACCATAGAAGTCCCCCACACCTCCCAGCCAGTTCGGTTTGCTCTTTCTGTGTACTGACCAGCTGCACAAAAACCCTTCTCAATAGAGTGGAGGGGTGGGAATGAGTGATGGAGGTAGATCTGCGTCGGGTAGTTCTGCTGTTGAAGAAGTGGACGTCTGGTGGGAGTAGAGCTACGATTTGCTGCTGAATGTGTCTGAGATTCCCAGATTCTAAGCCTTCCCTTCACAGCATCTTTTGGTCTCTGAGTTTTTGTTGCCTGACTTCTCGTTGTTGGGTCTGTTGTGGGTTTTTTTTGTTTGTTTGTTTTTTTGTCTTCATAGAGAGATGAGGATTTCTCATGAGTATTTGAAAGTATAGTATTACTTGATAAAGTTATTTGGACTCCTTAGTTTAAAAATATGATCCTGATCTTTTTTACCTTTCATAATTGGATAAGTATTTGAGATTAAAGATATTCTAAGATTTTTTCCTTATTGCAAATTTGGGACTCTACACTGGCCTTATTTTTGTGCTACATTGTACTCTTTGCTCTCTCTAATAAAACATATTGTTTTCTGTATTTAGACGGCACCGTATTTTGAAATGGTCAGGGTAAACACATTTAAAGTATACACATCTACATGATTTATGTAGAATTTTAAAACCTGCTTTTCTTGAAATCTGTCTTCTTTTTTTAGGTCCCCAAGTACTTGTCACAACAATGGAATAAAGCTTCAGGAAGGGGTGAAGTGGGAAAACTAAGGATCGCCAAGTAAGCCTTTACTGTACCTTTATTGGTTGCAACTCTTAGAAGAAATTGCCTGCAGTAACACAGATTATGTTACACCTTTTATAATACATAATCCAGTTTCTTGCAAACATTGTGCATATTTCTCTGAAACGTGAAAGGTTCTTGCTTGTATAGTGATTATCAATATAAATTATATGAAATTATACTGGGGATTGGCTGTATCGCGTTACATGATGTTTGATTTCTTCAACCCAAGAAACATGCACGTCTAACTGGAGAATGTTCTGTAACTTACCTATGTGCTATTTTGCTGCTTCTGTTCTCACCTGCTGACTTTTCCCATTTATTCTTGGGCATCAGCATCAAAAAAATTTGAGCAGCTCAGGAGTGAAGATGAGTAACAAAATTAGAATTTGAATTTGAATTTTTATCAGGAAAGCTAAACTTGTGGAATTAGATTATGGAAACTAAAACATTAAATATTTTCTTTTGCAGAAATCAAGGAAGAACAGAAGTAAGTAATTATTAAATACAAAGGCTGTGAATGTATTACATTTTGAATTCTAGAAATTGTTTAGAACATGTTGATTTCTAATGTCACAGATTTTTTTGTTACACCGGTAGTGAAGCATTGTACTGCAGAATGAGGAGGAGAGAATTCTGGTCATAGTTCTGCCCATAGGCTTACTGTGGGACTTTAATCAAGTCTCTTAGTTTGTTTACGCATCTGTAAGCATCAATCATAGTAGCAACCTTCTCTCTAAACGTTTTGAGATGTGTTAGTGCAAAAGGCTGTCTGAGAACTAAGGAGGATGATGATAAAGCAAAAGAACTTGGAGATGGAGGGTTACAATTTCAGAAGGTACTCTGTCTTATATTTGGAATTTGATTCTACTAAATATAAAGCAACTTGAAGGTTTTTCTGTGTGCAAAGGTAACTGCTTTTATTAGCAGCATCAGTGAATGATAGTAGCTTCCTGTATCTTTTACAGGAGATAAGGAAAGTTAGTTAGAATTACTTCAAATACCACATAGGTCTTTCACTGAATTGGAAGAAACTCTGGACCAAAAAATGGCAGGGAAGCAAGCTGCGTTTGCCGTTTGATCAGCTGGCCTAACTCCTTTTACAATAAGTGGAGAGCCTTCTACTGGAGGTTTGGATGTTTCATTAAACTCTTCTATGCTGGAATATGAGACAACCTCCCTGATTTTGTGAGCCCCACACCAAAATCTTGATGCTAATGAGAGCTTTGGCACATTTTGCAGGCCATGTAGAGCCAAGCAGTGAGGAACCCTGTGAGAAGGGGTGGCTTCCTGGGAGCCCTGTTGCTGCATGACAGAATGAGGCTAAGCAGACTGTATGGGACAAGCACACAGTGCAGCTCTGAAATGTCCATCTTCAGGTTTCCTGCTGTGCCGTGCAGCGAGGGATTCTGATCACTTAGTCCCCACCAGTACCTCCTCAGCTCCTGTATTGAGCATACAATGTAAACCCAGCAAAGGAGCTGTATTTGAACATCTTTTGAGCTGCAGGCAGTTCAGGAGTCCCCTGGCCAATGACACTTCTTGTGGTACATTAGCACTTTCTCTGGAACTAAACTGGCTGTGTGAAACATTGTAAAGCACTCCTACTGAACAGTGTCTGAAAACCTATTGTGCCTTACATTTTAATAAGTAAAGTCAAATTGTTCTCTAATTTCTAGAGGAGGTAATTTACAATTTTTTAAAAGATGAGCATGTTTTATTAAGTACATGAAAGCTTTGAGTTCTGTATTTCGACAACAATATAGTAAGACACCTATCTCACTCTTTATGTTTTTGAAATGGAAATGTGCTATACTTCTTGTGTTTTGTCTCCTTTTGTTTCCCCATAACTCGTAAAGCTGTGTAGTTGAGTCTGTTTAGTAACACTGTGGTAATTGTGACTGTTAGGTGTCATTTACTTTGAATGAAGAGCTTGCAAGCATCAGTGATATTGGAGGAAAACCTGCTTCAGTCAGTGCACCAAGGGAACATCCATTTCTTTTGCAAAGCGTGGGAGGACAGACCTTAACAGTGTTCACAGAAAGTTCAGTAGGTAAGTTGGAATTAAAGTTATTTGTTACCAGTCCAGTATACATGATTTCAATAAACTGAATGTTGTAAAGGCCAGAAGATTCGGAAGTCAGATTTTGGCTCTGCTGTGTTGTTATCTGCGTACATATCACTGTTGTACTTTTTTTGTGTCTGTCTCTTTTCTTCATATGATTGAACCACAAATTTAGGTTCTCCACATAGGGTTATCATGTGCATTTCAGCTGTGGGTCTGCTGAAGAGAACAGAGAGCGCATGGGGTGCAGTACATTGTACATTCCTTTTTAGGGTTTTCACTGAAAAAATGTTTTTATGTTCCCATGGACTTTGGGATCAACTAATTTATTTTTTTTTCTGCTTGAATTGGTCTCTGCTGTGAATATAGTTTTATAAGAATGCTGATTCTTCCTCTGCCCAGTTGAACAGATCCATTTTAGCAATAAACACATCTGTTCACCACGTTTTCTTGAAGTGTATGTATGGCTTAAGTGTATTAAAGCTTAATAAGGTCATAATACTAAACAGTGCAGCAGTAAGGTTATCCTTTTTCTCACTGGATTTCAGCTGTTTGGCCTGCCTTAAGTTCAGCTCAGTAGCTGCATGAGTGATTAGGATATTGAAGATCGATCATATGTCCTAAATTGCATGTTAGTCTTAAGGTACATGGTAGTGTACACTGTACAATAAGTTCAGCAAACTGCCTTGCAGGTAACTCCCGTGTGCTGTAAGGTTTTCTACTAAGGTTAGAGTGTCATGTTCTGGATGTTAGAGAGAGAAGGAAGGTGTCTGCGGAGCATATCTCATTGTCTGCAGAAGGTATCTCAGTTTCAAGCACCTAGGTTTTCGTGTTCCCAGAAGACCAATAATAGTAAATTTTTTTTGATACCTCTACCTTCTGTGGGGCAGAAAACTACAGTGTGACCAGCTACTGATGTTTTGGTGTTCATATGCTGGCAAGTAATTGCTGTGATGGCAGTGTGATGCTTTATCGAGTAAATGAAAGAGGGAGAATCATAACTCGCAGGACAGAGTTAGAACACTTAGTAAGTTTGATCACCTCCTTTTTAAAATCTATTTAAAGATTTAATGGCCGAACGTTGAGATACCAAGGTATAAGTGGCCTCACTGTCACAGTTGTGTTTAGAAATACAAGCTCTTACAGTACAACTCGGGCGCTTTTCAGTTATTATCCCTTTCTCTGAAACTGATGTAGTCATGATATCGTTTTTTCGCTGTCATGGTTTAGCCCCAGGCAGCAACTAAGCACCACGCAACCACTTGGTCACCTCTTTCCCCCGGTGGGATGGAGAGGAGAAAATATAACAAAAGGCTCAAGGATCAAGACAAGGACAAAGAGGGATCACCTGCTAATTATAGTCATGGGCAAAACAGACTTGACTTGGGGACAAAGCAATGTAATTCATCACCAATCACATTCAGAGGGGGTAATGAGATACAAAGCCAGATCTTAAAGACACCTTTCCCCACTCCTCAGTTCTTCCCAGCTCTACCTCCTCCTCTGAGTGGTACAAGGGGACAGGGAATGGGGGTTGTGGTCAGTTTGTCACGCATTGTTTTTGCAGCTCCTTTGTTAAAGGGGGAGGACTCACACTCTTCCCCAGCTCCAACCTGGGGTCCCTTCCCACGGGAGACAGTTCCCCAACCAACTTCTCCAGCATGAGTCCTTCCCATGGAATCCAGTCTTTACCCATCAGACTGCTCCAGCACAGGCTTTTCCCATGGAGTCACGGCTTCTTTAGATACAGCCACCTGCTCTGGCTTGGAGTCCTCCATGGACTGCAGATGCTTCTCTGCTCCACTGTCAGTCTTCAGCAGCGTGGAGACCTTTCCCATCGGAGAGAGTCCTCTATGAACTCTCTGGGCACAGCCATCCACTCTGGTGTGGGATCTTCCACAGGCTGCTCCACTGTTAATCTCCATGGGCTGCAGGGGAATCTCAGCTCTGGCACACCTCCTCCTGCTCCATCTTTGCTGACCTTGGTGTCTGTGTAGTTGTTTTTCTCACTCCTGTCTCCGGGCCTGACATACCTCAGCAGTCTTGGCAGATGAACTCCACCCAGCAGGCACACTGGGAGCGGCATGTGTTGGGGTGCTCCAAGCCACTGTGCCGTGGCCGTCTCCAGTCGAGTGGTGGGGGCCCAGCGTGGGCAGCTGCCCGCCTGGGGGTGGGCCAGGCCCCCACCTTCCCCCTCTCTTCACTGCAGGTCCTTCTTGATTAAATCCTTCATAGAGGCTCTGATGGGCTCAGCCCAGGGCAGAAGCGGGTCCAGCCTGGAGCCAGGGAAGCTTCTAGCAGCTCCTTACAGGGACTATCCCTGTAGCCCCTCCTCTGCTACCAAAACTCACCACATAAACCCAGCACACTTGCTTGAAATAAGCTGTTGTGTTTTCATGTGTGTGACTTGCAACACTTTTAAAAAATACTTGGTTTTGTCATCCATAGATTTAAAATGTGGAAAGAAATAGGGAGCAAGTTTTCAAGAATGTCGTAAGTGTTTTAGCAGTACCTCATCCTTTTTCATTTCTCGGTGCTTCAACCTCAGAGTGCTCGACAGAAGAGAGAGATTTCAGATATGAAGATGTGTTTAGAATATACATTCAGTGATTTTTGCATGTTTGCTGCAAATCCCATGTGGTTTTGCTTCCCAAGACACCTTTTTCTACAAAATATTGTTTCAAAAACCTCTAATGGTAATTTAAGCTGCAGTGAATGCAGATGCTTAACTTGAATATGGAGTATTTGTCATCACTTAGAATGGAAGTCATTAGAACGTGATAGCTAGAAGATGCCCATTTATTTCTGTTTTACTATCTGTAATACCAGTGTCTTGAAACATTTAGGTACTTAGAAGCTGTCCTATTTTTATTTAGTCAATTAAAAATTTGGCATTTCTTAATAACTACAAATGTTATTTAAGGACCATGGATCTATTGAATAGATATTAATGATATTAATCAGGAGCAAAGGGTAGTTACTGAAATGAGAAATGTTTGGAGTGAAGCACTGAATAAGCATAGACTCTGTCAAAATTGTTTTTGCTTGAGATTAGCAAGCATAACATGCAGTCAGTGAGCTTTCATGATACTCACTTAAATGCAAAATGGCTAAAATATGTTGCTTGTTAAAGCTGGTGTTGGCAGTGCAACCAAAAATAAACTTCAGTGTGCTTTTCTTGCATGACTTTTTTTGGTTGTAAAGATGAATGTGACACAAATATTCCACATTCCAGCCAGATTTCTTACAGACACCATGTTCCCACAGCCACACTCTTGTGTTTGGACGTGTATCACCAATATGTTTTGAGCTCCAGGGACAATTTCAGCAAATTTCGTAGTGAATTATGGCTAGTGTGAAAACAGGTGTCTGAAGAGTGGAATGAATTATACGGATACCCCAACCAAAAGAAAGGTTGCTACCCTATTTGATGCCAGAAGGTCCAGAGGAAAAAAAACTACATGAACCATGGAAAAAGACTCAGTAAAAGCTTACATATTTGCACATCTCTCAGTCTGCGTTAAGAGACAGTCATAGGAAATTGAAATTCATTCATTCTTATGGTCACAGACTGGTATTTGTCTTCAAATTATAATTGGCATATTTTTGTGAAAGGCTTTGGTGATCTTGTTCCTTTTTCTTTTGCAAAATGCACCACATAACAGAATTGATATGCTGGTTTGAACTGTGGGCCAAAGATTAAGCTGCTATGGAACTACAGATGGTGTTTCTAATGTTGCATCTGGAAGGATGCATTTGAGGAATTACGCAAATGAAATATGAGTAAAAGAAGTGCTTCATGCACTGTTGCTCTCAGTCACTACCTTTCTTGAGGACTGAACTTACCTAAAGTGGAGCAAATTGCATAAAGTAGTTGGGTTTCTTTTATAAAGGGTGGGTTTTTGTTGTGAGTTTTGTGGTTGTTTTTTTTTTTTTAATTTGATTTTTATTATGTTTCTGGAGCACATTAAAAGCCCTAAGATCTATTCTGTGTGCTGTCCTCTATTACTGGGATCCTTATGTTGTAGTGATCATCTTTTTGATGATCTTTCAGAAAATGAATGCGGAATGACAAAGCTGCCTCTGAAATATTTTATAATCTTGGAAGATGCTGCAGGGAGTTTACATACTTTGGATAATTCAGCACTTCACATTGACATATCAGGTCACTTAGAGCAAGCAAAGAGATGAAACTTAACTTTACAAGTAATTTAATAGTTTCTGCATGATGTAATTTCTAGACTTCCGAATGGATTTTCTGTGGTTTTGTTTTGTTTTATCTTAACTAAACTTGCTTCTAATACCTGTTGTAGTGGGAAGAAATCCTTTAGTTCTTACATGATAAACCTCTGCATCTCTGTCTCTGGTAGCCCCATATTAGTTAATGGACAGCGGTAGGCTCTTCTGAGGTGCCATTTATTATGTCCAAAGTCTAATTAATTGCAGTTTCTTATTCTTCTGCAGTGTGTGTACTAGATCTGAGCTAATATAAAATTTGAGTTTATCTAGTTTGAAGAAAAGGAAGCTGAGGGCAACCTTGTTGCTCCCTTACAGCTTCCTGAAGAGAGGAAGTGGAGAGGGAGCTGCTGAGCTCTTCTCTCTGGTGTCCAGACACATGGGAATGGCTTAAAGCTGCACCAAGGGAGGTTTAACTGGACGTTAGGAAGCATTTATTTACTGAGAGGGTGGTCCAACACTGTAATAGGCTTCCTAGCAAGGTGGTTGATGCCCCAAGTCTGTCAGTGTTTAAGAGGTATTTGGACAATGCCCTTAACAGCATACTTTAACTTTTGGTTGACCCTGAATTGGTCAGGCAGTTGGACTAGTAGGTCCCTTCCAACTGAACTCCTCTACTCTACTCTACTCTACTCTACTCTACTCTACTCTACTCTACTCTACTCTACTCTACTCTACTCTACTCTACATGTTCAATACAGCTAATACATAAATTCAAACACAAATTAAACCCTCTTCTAATAGAAAGCTGGATAAAGTGAATCTCATCCTAGATACTAATTAAAAATCTTGTCTATACTGGCTTTCACACATGGTGTACTTTTTATTTAGACTAACTCCGAGGTTTCTTCTGTTTCTTTTCTTATTTCTGTGTTTTGATATAGCTCTAATGAATAATACGGAGTAGTACAGAGCACTCGACAGTCCTAGTTGCAAAATACCTCCCTGCTTCCTTTGCAAAGCTGATTGCATGTGTGAGACATTGCATCGTCTTCATTGCTGGGCAAATCACTAAGACCTGCGGTGGTCTTCCTGAATGTCAGTTTAGCAAAGCTGGCAAGAAGTGTGGCTTCTCTGATGACTGCAGAGGGATCCAAAGGATGGTCGTCTCTTGCTGTCTAGGTCTTGCTGTCTAGGCTGGTTTCAGTATTATTGCTACATTAAATATGAACTACATTCTGTTCCATAAACATAACCATATGTACATCAACAGTTGCTATGCAACAATGCTATTTGTGCTTCCAGTCATTTTATCCTATCTTTGTCATCAGCTATCATAGCTGTAATTTTTTGGGCGGGAGGAAAGGAGAGCATTTTGCATATATTTCAATGTGTTGTATTGAACAAAATGAATTTTGCTTATGCTTGTATAGCTAAGAACTATCTAGGGGCAAGTCATAGGCTTGATATAGGGTGTGTTTGGTTGAAATTGTTTTTTTCTGAGCTTGCTACTGGCAGACAGCCTGGCGTAAGGAAGTGATATAATTGGACAGTTTCTTTCTTGGTTGAAAGAATGGGAACATGCTTTTGTTAAACATTTAACAGCAAACTTTTCTGATTCTGAATATAAATTAATTCCCTTTCTGCTTAAATTGCCTGTTGCTTAGTTTTTCTGCCAGTGGGTAGTTTAGGATTGCTGGCTCTAAATATTAATAAAAAAATGCAGCTATGTTATGGATAACAATAGAAGTTTCTTACTGAGCTAGTTCTTGGAAAAATGTGCTACTAATCAGACGTGGGAAAACACAGACCTTGGCAGACAATTGCATCTCTGACTGTAAAGGACTGATGGGTGGAAAGGAAGATTTTACACTGTAGGTACAAATAAAGTAGAAGATATTTCTGTAAAGTTGGGTGAGATGACTCATTTTACTAAAATTTTGAATATATCTTCACAACACCCTCTTCATAAGTGGGATTGCCTTAATGCCTATTTTAGTGACTTTAAGTTCCTTCATGCTCGTTCCATCTTGCTGAAAGTAAGTGTTTAGAGAATTCCACTGACAGAATGACTACCAGACCTTTGTCTCTGAGCATCATTCATGCATGGATCATTTCACTGTTTCATGCTTCACAGAAGATTGCTGGCTCTCAGCATTGCGTTCTTCTCCACTTTTCTGAGTCTTCTCTTTCAGAATCTCAGTTCATGAAATCTCAATTCCTGTTCAAGAATACACGTAACTCTGCCTATGTACCTTAGAACAGCTCCTTTATTCCCCTACTCCTTGAATATTCTCCCCTTGTTTTGGTTTTTTATTTTTTTTCTCTATACAGCTTCTCATATATGAAAGGACCTTTTCTGAGTTTGTACGTGAATCACGCCTGCTGTATAACTTACAGTGCTTGATTGTATTCCAGTGAAAATGAATATTCAGAGGTTTGTATTTTGTGTATTTATATTTTGAAGTATCAGAAATATCAGCCATTTAAAGACATGTGAAGGGAGGAAACACTAATAAAAATCCTACAAAGATGTTTGTTTCTTTCATTAAAGCAGGTAGTCCTATAATTACATTTAATTATTTCCAGTAAAATACATAGTGCTCAGAATCTTGATGCCTTGTGATACTGTTTCTGATCTTATTAGATGAATGTTTGACTTCTCAAATATTTCGTCAAACTCTTATTTAGGAAATAAACGCCCTCCGTCATCGTTCTGCTGTCTTAGCTCTGCCTGCTGAGCAGTTTTGACGTATACCTGTCTACTTTAACAGTACTTTCCAATTGTCTCTATTTGTTCAGGCTGTCACTTAACCACACATTCTAGTCTCCAAAATGCTTTGAGGTTTTACTTAATGCTTCTTTGTTCCTTTCTGTACTTCAGTCTTTTATGGACTGCTGTTAGCAGAAGAGGAAAACCTATCAGCAGCCTCACGATCAAACGAAATAGAAGCAACAGCAGCCTTTCAGATCTCTGGCATTTACGCAAATTTCCAAATATTTGTAAGGATCGTAAAGAAGATGCAACCCCTGATCAGAAAAGCAGACTGTGTGACTCAAGCTAGTCTAATTACAGACAGCATTTTGACGGGTCAAGATTTCATATGTATTATTGTGACATACAGTCCATTTAGAAATCAACTGCTACTGCTTACTTCACCTCTCTTCTCCATCTCTAAGAAATGGAAATTATGTTTATTTACTTACTTCATATGAGTGTTGTGAGGATTAACAAATTACTGAAAAGTGGGTTCAGCTGGCCGACGGGGTTAAGCTCCTAATTTTCTTTTCATTCTTGTTATTAAAACTATAGACTCTTAATTCCTGTACAGATTTAAACAATTGAGGATATAATGCACAAAATAGATGAGATGTTAGAAAGGGCTCGGTGTTATTGGAATAGAATCGGATTTCTACCTACTTCAGTGACTTTAAATTTCTTTGTTTTTTCCAGTCTCACTGATGTATGTGTAAAAAAACAACAAAAAAACCCCAAACTTAGCCTCCCGCTCCGAAAAAAAAAACCACAACAAAAAACCAACCAGACAAAAAAGACAAAACCCAACCAACCAAAGAATCCCAACCTGTTGATATTTACCTGTGAATCTTGCGTATTGTGGAGGAGGCTCGGTAGCTGTAGTCAGCATTGGTAAAACATACTGAGTAGTTATAGTGCAACTTCCTTTACCACCTTCATGATATTAGTAATGAGAAGATTTTTGAAGCAGAGACTTGTGACCTACTCATAACAATAACAAATTGTCTAATGATGAGGAAAAAAATGCCACTTTTTTGCAAGGCTTGAATTTTGTCTGGTTTTTTGTCTCTGCTGTTGAGGGCAGATTCTGCTACACACAACACACACACACTCACCTTGTAGACATGATACACATTTATTGTTATTTGAATCAGAGATGCCATTAACAATTTTTAAGTGTGGTGTGTTATGCAGTAGTTTTGGCTAGGCATCTAGTCTTTGTGTTGAAACAGAGTTAAAAAGAAACAGCTTTAAATCCAACTGCTCCTTACGTTTCAGTCCAGGCAGGGATTGATATCTTAGTATGTTTGCACGTTCTTCATTACATCCTCTTTGCTTCTTGTATGTGTACTGAATGTTTCCTTAATTAGGTTACAACGCAGGGTACTGGTTGGGTAATAACATTGTGCTGTAAATGTGCTAAATACACACAAAAAATGTCAATGAGAAAATACAGGTTTTTCTGCAAACAGACTATCTTGGATGTATATCTGAAAGTTGACAGGGATCTTAACTCACTTTGTTCATGGGTGGAAAGAGACCGTCCAATGATGTTTTCTCAGTGAGAAGGCACATGCCTTCAGCTGCTAAGACTAAGGACAGCCACTGGGAAAGAAAGAAGGATCTATGAGATACTGCTTTTTCCATTTGCATTAGTCCTCAGGCTGTCAGCCATCTCAGTGAGTAAACAGGGACATCAGCTGTGGAAGAGAGCGAGAATCAGTGGCAAGAAAAAGGTTTTGTAAAATATTTCATGTTTTCGATTCTGTTGATACCAAGCCTGTAAATGGCAGAAATGATCAAACTAACTGAACTCAAAAATTACTCTCTGAGTTATAGCAGTAATTCACTCTTGCCTGTAAGCAAATAGTCTGTAATGATAGCTGTGACATGTCCGAGTTGAAAGCTAAGGACAAGTGTATTTTACCATTTTTAACTGTATTTCAGATAAGTGAAAATGTGCTTTTTATTCTCTACCTTAGAAAATGCGTAAAAAGGAGAAATGCAGGAGGAGCAGTCAAATTTTAGGTTGACAGTTTTATGTAGGGTTTTAATTTCATAGGACTTTGTAAGTGTTAGAACTCAGTTTACCGAAATACATCCACCCGCTGCCATTTCTTGAAATATGGGATTGAAATTTCATGCAGAAAGCTGTTTCTGTATCTGACACTGCCCTTCGCATGAGTGATAATTTCTTGGCAAGTCACTTTGCAACACTTGTGTCTAGGTTTTTTTCTTTGTACATGCTTTGATTCTCTTGCTCTGTGGAACAGGAGGTGTCTTTCTGATTATGTGTATTTTTTGTACCTAACAAATTGTGCTATAGTGCTGTTTGAGGGCCAATGGTCAGAAAGGGAAAAGACTGAAGAAATAAATCCTTGCATGATCTGCAGAAAGGGTAGAGAAGAGGTTGCTCAGCTTCAAAAATTTACCTAATGCCAATTAAGAGCATTCTTTTGCAGAACATCGATTATTTTTTTAAATATAAGAAAATAATATTCATTAGTCTAGAGTGACCAGTGAGATAAATGGACACTGTTCATTGTTTAAGTATAATCCTACTACTGATTTTCTATAAACATGTAACTTCATTCCTTCAGAGCTCAATCAGAGGTGTAATGGAGTTGTCTCATTTAAGCTGTGAGTTTGGGCACTAAAGGAGATACTTTTTGTTGCTCCCTGTGGCAAATGATTCTTCAGAAAGTAGATTTATAAGCATTAATCAAACCTAGTGATTGTGGGTTTTATCATAATTTATCATTCTTTGCTTTGCAACCCACTTTTTAGATGTAATTTCAAATAATCAACACAGAAACATTACGTTTCCTTTTTTTGCTCATTTGTTGGTTTTTTTTTCCAGAAAGCCAACCAGAAGAAAAATCTGAAAGCAGCAGCACTGGTGAGTGTGGACACTTTCTTTGAAACACTTAAGAAATTACTTATGACTGCAGCTTTTCAGTTTTACTTTTCAAAAAATTGGTAGATTAAAAATAAAAAGGAGTCTTTTTTGTTCTATGTCTAGGGTGGAATATCATAAAATTGAAAAATTACTTCATAAACTGCAAACAAAAGCTTAAATTATTCATATTTTCTGTTTAAATGAAGGGGGAAAAATGATGAGGGAGAGCTTTAGAAATGTAATGAAATGTTATTTTAGAATTTTTTTTTTTATTTCTCAGCTCTTTTTTGTAGGTTCATTGTATCTTTTAGTTTGAATTCTTCTTGATTGGAAAATTTGTAGCAAATTTTGAAATCTTTTGTTATTTAATTTTAATTGCACAGACTCAGCAGTCAGAAAAATAGTGTTCTAGTAGTATTCTTTATTCAGTTTTTCTAATGAAAAAATCTTTCTTATGAAAGATTTATAAATTTTTTGGAAGGAGTCAAAAATGGTTACTTCGCTGATAGTACCTACCAGGTAACATGTTAGTCAGTTCAACGATGTCTTAAGTACAGTTAAAATTTCTAAGGGTGCTTCTCAAACTGAAATTGATAAGAGTAAAAATGTTTTTTTTTTTACACAGTTCTGAGTAGTAAATAAAAGTATTGCCCTTCAATTAGTGATTTTTTTGTGAAATGGGCAACATGCCTATATCAGATAGGATATCAGGTAGCCTAACGAATCTAAAGATTTTATGTCAGGTCTGAGCTGGTCTGTGCAGACTTTCTTTAAAGGCACTGATGGAGACTGTTCCAGAAAGTCTTATTCTAACATAGGTGTGTGCAAGTGCTGTTCTCCAGCAGCTTGAGCAGAGCTCTCTTGAGGCTGTGTGCTTCTAGCCTGCTCCCTTCTCTTCTGCCAAATCCTTTAGGCTTACGTTACTGAAATTCCTGGAAAGGTACACGACAACGTGAGACTCTTACAGTCTTAAGTAGTGTTTCATAAAAATCCCCTTTTCTGCTTTTATTAAAGGAAGAGATGTTTCAAAAATACCGTTAATGTACCAGCGTAAATAAGTGCCGATGTTGGCAAGAGCCTGTGAACCTGGGAAACTAGACAGAGCTAATACAGAATATATAGACACATCTCAGTTGTGTTAGTAGAAGGATTACCTCTGATGCACACAGATTAAATAGTGCTGGGACTGGGATGGCACTTGCAGTGGTAATGGCAGAGATAGTACATGGACTGGAAAGAGTCTCACGCCCCTGCCTTTCTTAAAAAGCAATTCCTAAACATGAGACTAATGCTGGTGGGTTTTCAAAATGTCTTCTTGAAAGTAATTGTTCAGATACTTTGACATGGAGATGTCAGTTTTTTCTAGTATTTGGCTTTTATTTGAATTGCATTGCAGCATCAAATGTTATCAAAAGTGTATACTTTGTGTCTGGCTGGGAGTAGGGCTTGGAAATCCTTTGTAACATTGAGATATTTTTATTACAATTGCTTAAGCATATCAAAAGCCTAGTGTTTGAAATGCTATAGTCTACAGACTTGTACTGAATCCAAAGTGTGTTTTGTAACTTGCAATTTTTCTCAGTTACTTGTTAAAACCTGTTCGCTCTGATTATACATTAATTGTGGTGCGGCTTTTAAGGTTATGAAGGGCTACTTTCTAGAGATTAGTACTTTACACCACTTGAAAGCTGAGACTCACTGCTGTGGGATGTCACATGTAAAGCAGATCTTGAGGGTTTAACTGCTAAATCGAGTCAGAATTTTTATATTTACATTGTATTTCTCTGGTGTTCTTCAGTTGTAGGCATGCACACTTGGTTTTGCTTGGCTTTTGGGGTTTTTGTTTTGTTCCAGTTCGGGTTTGCACTTGAATAATTGATTTGTCTGCTCTTCACTCTTGGTGTCTCCTCCTTGTTCTGTGAATATTGTATAAAATGGCCACGTGCTTAGTTGTTTGTATTTTTGCTTTGGTCAGAAGAATGAGTTACTGTGTGCTGGGGGCTGTTTAAAATATGCTGACAAGATGAAGTGCTAAACCCATTTGATGGAATCACTGTTTGGAGAGTCAGTTTCTGAGTGATGGTAGTTGGTTACACTGGGGCATTTAAAGGACAACTCAGCCATCAGTTGCACTTATTTGCTTATTTACTATTTTTTTCGAAATCATTGTGGAACTTGGATGACCTTTTCCAAACTGCCTCTCAAGTAATTAAGGTTATTGAGTGCTCCATTTTGCTGTTTATCTACCTTATCTCGGCCTACAGTAAGTACTTTGGAGGCAAAGATGATGTCCTTTATGTATTTATGTAGCGTTTTAGCATAACGAGACCCCAATGATTGCTTTTAAGTATTACTGTAATAAAAATATGTAAGGTTTATCTGCAATTAGAAAGTAAATAAAGGAGGTGAACAAGAGAAACAGAAATCCTTTGGTTTACATCATTAAAAAAAGTTCCCCCACATTTTCACATTGAGAGGGTACTGTCAACCTTCAGCATTTCTTATGTCGCAAATTGTTAGGATTATTTATAACATTTTTAATCACATTTATTGTTGGGCTCATTGTAAACCACTTACCAGAAGGCAAGGTATTACCAGCATTGCCACTCTGCTTGATACCATTCAAAGAGAGACAACGTGATACTGGGTCAGACCAAAGATAGTGTAGGTGGTATCCTGTCACCAGTGGTGGTCAATAGCAAATGCCTCGAGAGGAGCAGAAAAAAGCAACACAGAAGCATAGTGATACCTCCCCAAAATACTTCTTCCAGCCTTTAATGATTGACAGCTTAGAGAGATCCAAAGCCAGGGGTGATGGTGTCTTATTTAACAGATACTCGTGAATTTTCCTGCTATGAAGTATCTCTGTTGGTTTTTGAGCCCATGTAAACTTTTAGTGTCCTAATATCTTGAATGATGCTATGGTTACAGTTAAAATAATCAGGAATTAAAGCATATCTGAAACAAGTTTACCTGAATTAAATTTGAGCTCCTTTTGCATATGCCATTTGATAATTTTAGATCACTTTTTCCATACAGAAGTCATATTTGATTAGTGCATGTGATAGTACTTAGGGATTCCACCAATGTTGTTTAGTGCCTGAAGGCTGTTTTTTGTTAGATGCGAAAGGATGGTAGCAAATTACACACTCAGCTAAAGGAAAATAGATGTGAGAATTGACTGTGCTTATTCCTGTGTGATGCTGAGCCAAGTGATTTAAACCCAAAAATGTGTATGTAGCTCCTGTTTACTTAAAGCTTCTCTTGCACCTAGCTATAAGTGCCGTCAGTGGTGACAGAAACTGTGAAACCCAAACATTTCTGCCAGTTATTTCTTTCTCCCCCCTGCCATTAAAAATACCCAGAAGCTGCTGCCCTGAGCCTGTATAGTCTGTTGAGAATTATGTAGTGAAGAATCTTTGTCAGTAACATGAACGGTGGGATTGAGTGCACCCTCAGCAAGTTTGCTGACAACATAGAATCATAGAATGCTTAGGGTTGGAAGGGACCTTAAAGATCATCTAGTTCCAACCCCCCTGCCATGCACAGAGACACCCTCCACTACACCAGGTTGCCCAAAGCCTCATCCAACTTGGCCTTGAACACTTCCAGGGATGGGGCATCCACAACTTCTCTAGGCAACCTGTACAAGTGCCTGGAATGAAGCTGTGTGGTGTGGTTGACACGCTGGAGGGAAGGGATGACATCCAGAGGGACCTTGACAGGCTGGAGAGGTGGTCTGTGCAAACATCATGAAGTTCAACAAGGCCAAGTGTCAGGTCCTGCACATGGATGAGGGCAATCCCAAGCACAAGTACGGACTGGGCATAGAACAGATTGAGAGCAGCCCTGAGGAGAAGGACTTTGGGGTGTTGGTTGATGAGAAACTCAGCATGAACTGACAGCTTAGGTGTTTAGAGACAGGACAAGGGACAATGGCTTTAAACTGAAAGAGGGTAGGTTTTAATTAGGTATAAGAAAGAAATTTTTTACAATGAGGATGGGGAAACATTGAACAGGTTGCCCAGAGGAGTTGTGGATGCCCCATCCCTGGAGGTGTCCAAGGCCAGATTGGATGAGGCTTTAAGCAGCCTGGTCAAAGGAAGGTGTCCCTGCCCATGGCAGGGGGGGTGGGACAAGATGATCTTTAAGGTCCCTTCCAACCAGAACCATTCTATGAAGAAATGCGTTCTCACTTATGTACTTATGTACGTTCTCACTTATGTACTGTCCTTGTGGAAGTGCATTAAAGGAAAGTTTCATGGGCAGCAATTGATTATGATGTTGCCTAAGCTTCAAGAATGTAATTTTGAAAACATAGTATTTTTTTCCTGATGAGTGGGGGTGGTGGTAGATGTATCAGCTCTGTACACAAACTACAGATGCACCTGTTTCTTCAAGAATGTGTACATCAGGGACTGTTACGTGCAATCTATTAGTTTAAATTCCTGAACCTGCTTCAAACCAGATTAACTCCTGTTGTATCCAAATTTCATCTCTTAAAGTCTTTGAGATAAGTTTATAGTAAATAGCAGCTTTCAATACTTAACGTGCTTTTGAACCAGGTATTAGTAATCTACCTAAACCTGCCAGTGAGTAATACAAAATGCCCTCTAGTGAAGGGAGAGGCACCATTGGGACCATTTCTGATTGGACTTTGGATAAAAGGAATAAATTGTCTGAGCTGCTGCAGGCAATATGGTGTGAATCTAGCATTAAAATTTTGCCAGTTGTGAATGTACATATTTGACAGCAGACCCGATTATACAACACTTGGATTGTCTGTAGATCACATTTGTTTCATTTTTTGGTGTTTCAATAAAAAGAAATCAGGTGTTGATTACAGATGTGTTGGAACATTTGAAATTCAGTGTAAGCACTTTGATACACTGAACTGCATGCAGTGAAATCAGCAATTTTTTGTTAAAGGCACAGAGTTCTTATGACACAGAACTGCATAAAGCTGCTAAATGCACGTTTGATTTAATCTACTTTAGAGC